ACCCACTGGGCCAGGGTTGTACCCACTGGGCCAGGGTTGTTGTACCCACTGGGCCAGGGTTGTTGTACCCACTGGGCCAGGGTTGTACCCACTGGGCCAGCCAGGGTTGTACCCACTGGGCCAGCCAGGGTTGTACCCACTGGGCCAGCCAGGGTTGTACCCACTGGGCCAGGGTTGTACCCACTGGGCCAGCCAGGGTTGTACCCACTGGGCCAGCCAGGGTTGTACCCACTGGGCCAGCCAGGGTTGTACCCACTGGGCCAGCCAGGGTTGTACCCACTGGGCCAGGGTTGTTGTACCCACTGGGCCAGGGTTGTTGTACCCACTGGGCCAGGGTTGTACCCACTGGGCCAGCCAGGGTTGTACCCACTGGGCCAGGGTTGTACCCACTGGGCCAGGGTTGTACCCACTGGGCCAGGGTTGTTGTACCCACTGGGCCAGGGTTGTTGTACCCACTGGGCCAGGGTTGTTGTACCCACTGGGCCAGGGTTGTTGTACCCACTGGGCCAGGGTTGTACCCACTGGGCCAGCCAGGGTTGTACCCACTGGGCCAGGGTTGTACTCACTGGGCCAGGGTTGTACCCACTGGGCCAGCCAGGGTTGTTGTACCCACTGGGCCAGGGTTGTACTCACTGGGCCAGGGTTGTACCCACTGGGCTAGGGTTGTACCCACTGGGCCAGCCAGGGTTGTACCCACTGGGCCAGGGTTGTACTCACTGGGCCAGGGTTGTACCCACTGGGCCAGCCAGGGTTGTACCCACTGGGCCAGCCAGGGTTGTACCCACTGGGCCAGGGTTGTACCCACTGGGCCAGGGTTGTACCCACTGGGCCACCCAGGGTTGTACCCACTGGGCCAGCCAGGGTTGTACCCACTGGGCCAGGGTTGTACCCACTGGGCCAGGGTTGTACCCACTGGGCCAGCCAGGGTTGTACCCACTGGGCCAGCCAGGGTTGTACCCACTGGGCCAGGGTTGTTGTACCCACTGGGCCAGGGTTGTTGTACCCACTGGGCCAGGGTTGTACCCACTGGGCCAGCCAGGGTTGTACCCACTGGGCCAGGGTTGTACCCACTGGGCCAGGGTTGTACTCACTGGGCCAGGGTTGGACCCACTGGGCCAGCCAGGGTTGGACCCACTGGGCCAGGGTTGTACTCACTGGGCCAGGGTTGTACCCACTGGGCTAGGGTTGTACCCACTGGGCCAGCCAGGGTTGTACCCACTGGGCCAGGGTTGTACTCACTGGGCCAGGGTTGTACCCACTGGGCCAGCCAGGGTTGTACCCACTGGGCCAGGGTTGTACTCACTGGGCCAGGGTTGTACCCACTGGGCTAGGGTTGTACCCACTGGGCCAGCCAGGGTTGTACCCACTGGGCCAGGGTTGTACCCACTGGGCCAGGGTTGTACCCACTGGGCCAGGGTAGTACCCACTGGGCCAGGGTTGTACCTACTGGGCCAGGGTTGTACCCACTGGGCCAGGGTTGTACCCACTGGGCCAGCCAGGGTTGTACCCACTGGGCCAGGGTTGTTGTACCCACTGGGCCAGGGTTGTTGTACCCACTGGGCCAGGGTTGTTGTACCCACTGGGCCAGTCAGGGTTGTTGTACTGGCACATGACTGGTGTGCTGCTGTCAAGTTCTCTCAACTTTAAAATACTTGACTTAAAGCAAACTAGGCTTTTGTCATTGTTTTACCTAAACACAAGAACAACCTTTGCCTGAAGTCCAACCCTAGCTCAGCCATAGCCCTCACAACTGCAACACATCACCCCCCCCTTTATAATGCTTCCACCAGATAGTAGATAGACCCCCCCCCCATGCAACACATCACCAGATAGACACCCCCTATATATAACACATCTACTTATTTACATAGCCAAGCATCAGTTAAGCTGGATATAAAAAAAAATCAGGTCATATTAAATGAGGTCAAGTTGTGACCCATTTTTATATATTGAGATTACAGTCTATTTATAACCCAGAAGTTTTGCCTCAACAGACAAAAAACTGCACTGTGTAATTGCTTTGAGCAACTGAATAACTCCCTGATGTGGATAAACAAACAATGTGTACACTGAAACAATGTGCACAACTGAAACAATGTGCACAACTGAAACAATGTGTACAACTGAAACAATGTGTACAACTGAAACAATGTGCACAACTGAAACAATGTGTACAACTGAAACAATGTGCACAACTGAAACAATGTGCACAACTGAAACAATGTGCACAACTGAAACAATGTGTACCACTGAAACAATGTGTACCACTGAAAGAACTTGAAACCAGCCCTGTGGATCATCTCTCCCCTCTTCCAATGTAGGCTGTAGTTGTCTGATACACACCTAGTTATAGCCTGACTATGAGAGATGTAGACTGATACACACCTAGTTATAGCCTGACTATGAGAGATGTAGACTGATACAACACCTAGTTATAGCCTGACTATGAGAGATGTAGACTGATACAGCACCTAGTTATAGCCTGACTATGAGAGATGTAGACTGATACAGCACCTAGTTATAGCTTGACTATGAGAGATGTAGACTGATACACACCTAGTTATAGCCTGACTATGAGAGATGTAGACTGATACAGCACCTAGTTATAGCCTGACTATGAGAGATGTAGACTGATACAGCACCTAGTTATAGCCTGACTATGAGAGATGTAGACTGATACACGCCTAGTTATAGCCTGACTATGAGAGATGTAGACTGATACAGCACCTAGTTATAGCCTGACTATGAGAGATGTAGACTGATACAGCACCTAGTTATAGCCTGACTATGAGAGATGTAGACTGATACAGCACCTAGTTATAGCCTGACTATGAGAGATGTAGACTGATACACGCCTAGTTATAGCCTGACTATGAGAGATGTAGACTGATACAGCACCTAGTTATAGCCTGACTATGAGAGATGTAGACTGATACACACCTAGTTATAGCCTGACTATGAGAGATGTAGACTGATACAGCACCTAGTTATAGCCTGACTATGAGAGATGTAGACTGATACAGCACCTAGTTATAGCCTGACTATGAGAGATGTAGACTGATACAGCACCTAGTTATAGCCTGACTATGAGAGATGTAGACTGATACAGCACCTAGTTATAGCTTGACTATGAGAGATGTAGACTGATACACACCTAGTTATAGCCTGACTATGAGAGATGTAGACTGATACAGCACCTAGTTATAGCCTGACTATGAGAGATGTAGACTGATACACACCTAGTTATAGCCTGACTATGAGAGATGTAGACTGATACAGCACCTAGTTATAGCCTGACTATGAGAGATGTAGACTGATACACACCTAGTTATAGCCTGACTATGAGAGATGTAGACTGATACAGCACCTAGTTATAGCCTGACTATGAGAGATGTAGACTGATACAGCACCTAGTTATAGCTTGACTATGAGAGATGTAGACTGATACAGCACCTAGTTATAGCCTGACTATGAGAGATGTAGACTGATACAGCACCTAGTTATAGCCTGACTATGAGAGATGTAGACTGATACAGCACCTAGTTATAGCCTGACTATGAGAGATGTAGACTGATACAGCACCTAGTTATAGCCTGACTATGAGAGATGTAGACTGATACACACCTAGTTATAGCCTGACTATGAGAGATGTAGACTGATACAGCACCTAGCTTCTGTTGTCCAAAATACTATCATTATCTCTGGCTCCGCTGGAACCTATAGGGATGAGGGGGTGGGGGGGGGGGGGGGGGATGAAACAGTGGTTGGCACACAAGTGCTTGTCTTGGGTAGACAGATAAGTGCTATCATTTCAAACTTACATAACCAACAATCTAGTGGTGTGGGTCAAACATCTAATGTAGCACTGGCTGTGGTAGTGGTGTTGTCTACTGGCTGTGGTAGTGGTGTTGTCTACTGGCTGTTGTAGTGGCACTACAGATGACCTCTGTAAAGAGTTATGTTTAAAATAAGATTATGTCCTCACATCTCTACAGTTCACCAACTCCTCCCCACCCCTTAAGGCTGGGCCTGCTCTCTTACAACATCCCACTGCTTCCATCTCTCTCTCTCACCTCTTCCCATCCTCCCACCCTCTGCCCTGCACAAACAGTATTAAAGCCAATCAATAGCATGATAAAGTTGCTCCAGACAAGATAAAGAGGATTGTAGAAGATTGTAGAAGATTGTAGAAGATTGAATAAAAGACATGCATAGAAGAGGAAAAAATGTAAACAACCAACATGGACAAAAATACTTGTCATAACTCACAAGATGAATTAACCAGATCTAATGGTACAAAGTAAAAGAACTAATGGTACAAAGTAAAAGATCTAATGGTACAAAGTAAACTAAAAGAACTAATGCTGTCAAATGAAGCAATGTTTTAACTAACCTTCAAGTTGTACTGGCTGTGAGGGCCAATATGTTGGGATGGAACTATTGATTGCTGGAAGATTGGACTGGGCTCAGTTACATTTGATGGCTCCCACACACAACTCTTTCAATGAATTTCCAGGTCCCTTTTCATTCTTAAATTAAAACATGTTACAAAGATAGAGAAATCACATTTTTTTTTAGAGATGTTCCAGCAGCTTCAAGCTCAGAATTGAAAATTACATTCTTTAAGTCTAAGGTTTAATCAGCATATAAAACTTGATCAGCACTAACAGTAAACTAGCCCTTTATACAGTGTAGGAATACACTACAGCATACAAAAACTAACCCTTTATACAGTGTAGGAATACACTACAGCATACAAAAACTAACCTTATACCAGTACAAAATATCTGACCCACTTTATTGTAGCTGTAAGACTTAAGAACATGTCTTGTAGCTGTAAGACTTAAGAACATGTCTTGTAGCTGTAAGACTTAAGAACATGTCTTGTAGCTGTAAGACTTAAGAACATGTCTTGTAGCTGTAAGACTTAATAAGAACATGTCTTGTAGCTGTAAGACTTAAGAACTCAGTGTTAAGTTCTCCTTGACCAAGTTGTCCAGCTTTGTTGTAACAGAACTCATGCAGTCAGACCTTCATAAAATCATCGTCTCACCCCAGCCCCTCACATCAGATCATGTCAAAGTCTTTCTATACCAAATACTCAGAGGTAAGTCTGTCATTTTATCAGCACAACAGTTTATGTAACAAATCTGCTTCCAACAGATGTCAATTCTGATGCCTCAAATAATTTTTTTCAGAAGAAAAATGTAACATGTAATCTATCTCATTGACTGACCACAACATACAACAACCATTGACTGACCACAACATACAACCACCACTGACTGTCCACATACAACTACTGACTGTCAACTGTATTTCCCTCCCTCAGGTTTAAAGTACCTCCACTCAGCCAGAGTTTTACACAGGGATATAAAGCCAGGCAATCTGTTAGTCAACAGCAATTGTTGTTTAAAGGTAGGTTTTACACAGGGATATAAAGCCAGGCAATCTGTTAGTCAACAACAATTGTTGTTTAAAGGTAGGTTTTACACAGGGATATAAAGCCAGGCAATCTGTTAGTCAACAGCAATTGTTGTTTAAAGGTAGGTTCACTGGTCAAAGGGAGGCCACCAACTCAACAAACTACACACAACTCACACTTTTAAACAGTGACCTCCCTTGAATAGTTCCCTTCCTTCCACAAATATTCAAATTCAGAATTTCAAAAATAAGAAGAATGAACCAAAGCTAAGAATAAAATAGTTATGTGAGCCTTAAGGTCTTTTAGTGAAGTGTGTCTGTGTTTCAGATTTGTGACTTTGGTCTGGCTAGGATCATGGAGCCTGATGAAAACATTGCCATGACTAAGTTTGTCTCTGTGTTTCAGATCTGTGACTTTGGTCTGGCTAGGATCATGGAGCCTGATGAAAACATTGCCATGACTAAGTTTGTGTCTGTGTTTCAGATCTGTGACTTTGGTCTGGCTAGGATCATGGAGCCTGATGAAAACATTGCCATGACTAAGTTTGTGTCTGTGTTTCAGATCTGTGACTTTGGTCTGGCTAGGATCATGGAGCCTGATGAAAACATCACCATGACTAAGTTTGTGTCTGTGTTTCAGATCTGTGACTTTGGTCTGGCTAGGATCATGGAGCCTGATGAAAACATTGCCATGACTAAGTTTGTGTCTGTGTTTCAGATCTGTGACTTTGGTCTGGCTAGGATCATGGAGCCTGATGAAAACATCACCATGACTAAGTTTGTGTCTGTGTTTCAGATCTGTGACTTTGGTCTGGCTAGGATCATGGAGCCTGATGAAAACATTGCCATGACAAAGTTTGTGTCTCTGTGTTTCAGATCTGTGACTTTGGTCTGGCTAGGATCATGGAGCCTGATGAAAACATTGCCATGACTAAGTTTGTGTCTGTGTTTCAGATCTGTGACTTTGGTCTGGCTAGGATCATGGAGCCTGATGAAAACATCGCCATGACAAAGTTTGTGTCTGTGTTTCAGATCTGTGACTTTGGTCTGGCTAGGATCATGGAGCCTGATGAAAACATCACCATGACTAAGTTTGTGTCTGTGTTTCAGATCTGTGACTTTGGTCTGGCTAGGATCATGGAGCCTGATGAAAACATTGCCATGACTAAGTTTGTGTCTGTGTTTCAGATCTGTGACTTTGGTCTGGCTAGGATCATGGAGCCTGATGAAAACATCACCATGACTAAGTTTGTGTCTGTGTTTCAGATCTGTGACTTTGGTCTGGCTAGGATCATGGAGCCTGATGAAAACATTGCCATGACAAAGTTTGTGTCTCTGTGTTTCAGATCTGTGACTTTGGTCTGGCTAGGATCATGGAGCCTGATGAAAACATTGCCATGACTAAGTTTGTGTCTGTGTTTCAGATCTGTGACTTTGGTCTGGCTAGGATCATGGAGCCTGATGAAAACATTGCCATGACAAAGTTTGTGTCTCTGTGTTTCAGATCTGTGACTTTGGTCTGGCTAGGATCATGGAGCCTGATGAAAACATTGCCATGACTAAGTTTGTGTCTGTGTTTCAGATCTGTGACTTTGGTCTGGCTAGGATCATGGAGCCTGATGAAAACATTGCCATGACAAAGTTTGTGTCTCTGTGTTTCAGATCTGTGACTTTGGTCTGGCTAGGATCATGGAGCCTGATGAAAACATCGCCATGACTAAGTTTGTGTCTGTGTTTCAGATCTGTGACTTTGGTCTGGCTAGGATCATGGAGCCTGATGAAAACATCGCCATGACGCAGGAGGTGGTCACACAGTACTACCGGGCGCCAGAGATCCTCATGGGTGCCGTGCACTACACCTCCGCCGTAGATATTTGGTCAGTGGGATGTATCTTTGCTGAGTTGCTCAGTCGCAGGATTCTGTTCCAGGCCTCCGCCCCTGTACAGCAGGTCAGTGACATCTCTAGGTCCCAGCTGTAGGTCTCAGCTGTAGGTCCCTGCTGTAGGTCCCTGCTGTAGGTCCCTGATGTAGGTCCCTGCTGTAGGTCCCAGCTGTAGGTCCCAGCTGTAGGTCCCTGCTGTAGGTCCCTGCTGTAGGTCCCAGCTGTAGGTCCCTGCTGTAGGTCCCAGCTGTAGGTCCCTGCTGTAGGTCCCTGCTGTAGGTCCCAGCTGTAGGTCCCTGCTGTAGGTCCCTGCTGTAGGTCCCAGCTGTAGGTCTCTGCTGTAGGTGTAGGTCCCTGCTGTAGGTGTAGGTCCCTGCTTTAGGTCTCTGCTGTAGGTGTAGGTCCCTGCTGTAGGTCCCTGCTGTAGGTGTAGGTCCCTGCTGTAGCTGTAGGTCCCTGCTGTAGGTCCCTGCTGTAGGTCCCTGCTGTAGGTCCCTGCTGTAGGTCCCTGCTGTAGGTCCCAGCTGTAGGTCCCAGCTGTAGGTCCCTGCTGTAGGTCCCTGCTGTAGGTCCCTGCTGTAGGTCCAAGCTGTAGGTCCCTGCTGTAATTCCCAGCTGTAGGTCCCTGCTGTAGGTCCCTGCTGTAGGTCCCTGCTGTAGGTCCCTGCTGTAGGTCCCTGCTGTAGGTCCCTGCTGTAGGTCCCAGCTGTAGGTCCCTGCTGTAGGTCCCAGCTGTAGGTCCCTGCTGTAGGTCCCTGCTGTAGGTCCCAGCTGTAGGTCCCTGCTGTAGGTCCCTGCTGTAGGTCCCAGCTGTAGGTCCAAGCTGTAGGTCCCTGCTGTAGGTCCCAGCTGTAGGTCCCTGCTGTAGGTCCCTGCTGTAGGTCCCTGCTGTAGGTCCCTGCTGTAGGTCCCTGCTGTAGGTCCCTGCTGTAGGTCCCTGCTGTAGGTCCCATCTATTTCATACTGGTAACCAAATATAAGAATTCTTGCTCTAACAGCTGAGAGAAAAATTTAATGCAAAAACTGATAAACTATCTACATAATGGCCCTAGTGAATACCACAGCCCTTTAATAGCCCCAGTAAAGACAGCCCCTAATGTCCCCAGTAAAGACAGCCCCTAATGGCCCCCCTAAAGACAGCCCCTAATGGCCCCCCTAAAGACAGCCCCTAATGGCCCCAGTAAAGACAGCCCCTAATGGCCCCAGTAAAGACTGGCCCCTAATGGCCCCAGTAAAGACAGCCCCTAATGGCCCCAGTAAAGACTGGCCCCAGTAAAGACAGCCCCTAATGGCCCCAGTAAAGACAGCCCCTAATGTCCCCAGTAAAGACAGCCCCTAATGGCCCCCCTAAAGACAGCCCCTAATGGCCCCCCTAAAGACAGCCCCTAATGGCCCCAGTAAAGACAGCCCCTAATGGCCCCAGTAAAGATGGCCCCAGTAAAGACAGCCCCTAATGGCCCCAGTAAAGACAGCCCCTAATGGCCCCCCTAAAGACAGCCCCTAATGGCCCCAGTAAAGACAGCCCCTAATGGCCCCAGTAAAGATGGCCCCAGTAAAGACAGCCCCTAATGGCCCCAGTAAAGACAGCCCCTAATGGCCCCAGTAAAGACAGCCCCTAATGGCCCCAGTAAAGACAGACCCTAATGCCCCTACTGAAGCTCCAATCCTAATGACCTGAACACACAGGCCTGCCAGTTGTGCTGATTTCTTTGTCCCACATGTTAGCATTGATTTTCTCAATGTAGGCCTACAAAGGTGAGAAATAATTCCCTCATTTCAGTGTGGTTTATTTTTTAAAGAAAGCTAGCTAATTGCTGCTCCACTTGATCACCTTAATTAGGCGGGGCTCATGCTTGGCTGGTCATGAATAGTGTCTTGTCTTGGTAGCTCATGTGTGATTAGGTTAGTTATGTCACAGCCAACTGATAGTACAAGAATGGTTTACTTTTACTTCATCAGCCACACAATCATCAGTACCACAATCATCAATACCACAATCATCAATACCATAATCGATATCACAATCAATTGAATCTCAATAAATACTCCACAATCATCAGTTCCACAAACATTCCCACAATCATTGATACCACACTAATCAGTACCACAATCATCAGTACCACACTAATCAGTACCACAATCATCAGTACCACAAACATTCCCACAATCATCAGACCACAATCATTGATACCACACTAATCAGTACCACAATCATCAGTACCACACTCATCAGTACCACACTCATGGGTGAGAGCTTAGACTAGAGGGTGTGCTGTCCTCCAGATTTTGTTGTCATCAAGCCACAAAGGCGTCACAGTTCACTGGAGGGTGAATTTAAAAATTAGCAATGGTGGAGGTGGGGGATGCAGATACTGTTATACTGACAGATGTCTCCATGACACTGTGGCACTGACAGATGTCTACATGACACTGGTACTGACAGATGTCCACATGACACTATTGACAGATGTCTCCATGACACTGGGGTACTGACAGATGTCTACATGACAGCGGGATACTGACAGATGTCTACATGACTGTCATACATGTCTTTGTTACACTTCCATACTGACAGATGTCTACATGACACTGGGGTACTGACAGATGTCTACATGACAGCGGGATACTGACAGATGTCTACATGACTGTCATACATGTCTTTGTTACACTTCCATACTGACAGATGTCTACATGACACTGTGGCACTGACAGATGTCTACATGACACCGTCGCACTAACAAATGTCTACATGACACCGTGGCACTGACAAATGTCTACATGAACTGACAAATGTCTACATGACACTGTGGTACTGACAGATGTCTACATGACACTACTGACAGATGTCTACATGACACTACTGACCGATGCTTGGGTCTACTACATGCAGCGAGTGATGCAGGAATGTTGTAGACAGCACCATCACCCACTGGTACACGCCACTGGTACACGCACCCTGCTACAGCTACAACTTCCAGCCGTCTTTGTTCCCATGTACCCAGTACCTCCCCTCCTCTACCCTCACTCTGACCTCCAGTTTGTTTTCCCGGCACTTAGTTGATGAGTTTAGAGTCTAGCAACGGTTTCACAGCCGTGACGTCTGCATAAGACATTGCCCCCCCCCCCCCCCCCCGTTCCCACCCAGTGCCATGCAATAGAAGTAGCGGTGGAATGGTTAAGGGGGGGGGGGGGTGTCTGGAAGAGAGAACAGCTAATAGCAGATTAAAGACTAGGACAATCCCACAATTAGCTGATGAAAACCTGGTTGATCGATTTTTACCTGGCTCGTCTGTAGTGCCTACACACACCGACATCACTACACACGACACCACTACACGACACCACTACACGACATCACGACACGTATGACACCCCCACTCACACACTGTTTTAGTTGATTTTCCGGAAAAAAATTGAACCTTGAAATTTGTTCTATTTTTTATTTTAGCATTTGCTTTAACTTAAATTCCTTTTTGGTGCAAGAAAATAAATGTGGTATCTACAAATCTACGACCAACCACGGTTAAACTAAGAATGTTTTTTTTTTAATCACCACCTCGTGACCCCTCCTCCCCCGCCTCTCGTCGTTGTGTGACTGAAAGTTCACCCTTCCCACCCCTCCCATCTGTTTTGTAATGGCCCACCCTCCCCATCCTTCATGTAATGGCCCATCTTACATGTAATGGCCCACCCTTCCCATCCTTCATGTAATGGCCCATCTTACATGTAATGGCCCACCCTCCCCATCCTTCATGTAATGGCCCATCTTACATGTAATGGCCCACCCTTCCCATCCTTCATGTAATGGCCCACCCTTCCCATCCTTCATGTAATGGCCCATCTTACATGTAATGGCCCACCCTTCCCATCCTTCATGTAATGGCCCATCTTACATGTAATGGCCCACCCTCCCCATCCTTCATGTAATGGCCCATCTTACATGTAATGGCCCACCCTTCCCATCCTTCATGTAATGGCCCACCCTTCCCATCCTTCATGTAATGGCCCATCTTACATGTAATGGCCCACCCTTCCCATCCTTCATGTAATGGCCCATCTTACATGTAATGGCCCACCCTTCATGTAATGGCCCACCATTCCCATCCTACATGTAATGGCTCACCCTTCCCATCCTTCATGTAATGGCCCACCTCTCCCATCCGTCCTGAGATGGCCCACCTCTCCCATCCCCCCTGAGATGGCCCACCTCTCCCATCCCCCTGAGATGGCCCACCTCTCCCATCCCTCCTGAGATGGCCCACCTCTCCCATCCCCCCTGAGATGGCCCACCTCTCCCATCCGTCCTGAGATGGCCCACCTCTCCCATCCCCCCTGAGATGGCCCACCTCTCCCATCCCTCCTGAGATGGCCCACCTCTCCCATCCCCCCTGAGATGGCCCACCTCTCCCATCCCTCCTGAGATGGCCCAGCTCTCCCAACCCCTCCTGAGATGGCCCACCTCTCCCATCCCTCCTGAGATGGCCCACCTCTCCCATCCCCTCCTGAGATGGCCCACCTCTCCCATCCCCCCTGAGATGGCCCACCTCTCCCATCCCTCCTGAGATGGCCCACCTCTCCCATCCCCCCTGAGATGGCCCACCTCTCCCATCTCTCCTGAGATGGCCCACCTCTCCCATCCCCCCTGAGATGGCCCACCTCTCCCATCCCTGCTCAGATGGCCCACCTCTCCCATCCCTCCTCAGATGGCCTACCTCTCCCATCCCCCCTGAGATGGCCCACCTCTCCCCTTTATCCCCGGCCCTCTTACAGTGTGCGCTAAGTTCACCCCTCCACTCCCCTGCGATGACCCACCACTCCCTGTCCCCTCCCAGTTCCTCTCTTTGTCAGTGCTCATTGATTTTGCTCCCACCCTCCCCCCCCCCCCCCCCGACGTGAGATAAAAAAGCTCAGCTCCTCCAGGCAGTCTAATTTAGCACCGGCCTCATTCTTTCTCCTGCTGCCTAGATGTAGGTCACTGGGTTGCCAGATTAGGCTATGTTTTTGTTTGCTGCCTGACCATGTAGGTAGAGCCAAGGTCAGATGTCTGGCACTTCCACACCCACATCAAGGGGGGGGGGGGTGTATTTCTGTTAAGTGTTTTGTCCGTTATGTTACAGTTATGTCACTTCATCCCTACAAAAATAGTTTCTTTCATTAGATGGAAACTAAAAACAACAAAAACAAATCTAGATATCTTCATATCTAGCTTGGCTTGTCATTTGTGTCATCAATCTAACTAAGGCACATGTCACTGACATGACATGCCATACTACACTGACATGACACACTACACTGACATGACATGACACCACACTGACATGACACCACACTGACATGACACTACACTGACATGACAAGACTCATATCATGACACCACACTGACATGACACTACACTGACATGACACTACACTGACATGACACCACACTGACATGACACCACACTGACATGACACTACACTGACATGACACTACACTGACATGACACTACACTGACATGACACTACACTGACATGACACTACACTGACATGACACTACACTGACATGACACTACACTGACATGACATAACACCACACTGACATGACACTACACTGACATGACATAACACCACACTGACAAGACACCACACTGACATGACACTACACTGACATGACACTGCTGACATGACACTATGCTGACATGACACTGCTGACATGACACTATGCTGACATGACGTGACACCACACTGACATGACACACTACACTAACATGACACCATAATGACATGTCACACTACACTGACATGACACAATACACTACACTACCTTAGCACACTGCCCCACCACAACACAACTGACCCCCGTGTTTCTCCCCCTCCCCAGCTGGATAGAATCACTGAAGTACTTGGCACCCCCTCCTATGAAGACATGCCCACAGCCTGTCAAGGCGCCAGAGACTACATCAGATCCAGGCCCCACAAGCCAGCAGCACTCAACCAGTTTTATACTCTCTCTGACCAGGCCACACACGAGGCTGTCCATTTATTATGTCGCATGCTAGTCTTAAATCCAGTAAGTCCTCAATTTTTGCTAGTCTTAAATCCAGTAAGTCCTTGATTTTTGCTAGTCTTAAATCCAGTAAGTCCTTGATTTTTGCTAGTCTTAAATCCAGTAAGTCCTCGATTTTTGCTAGTCTTAAATCCAGTAAGTCCTTGATTTTTGCTAGTCTTAAATCCAGTAAGTCCTTGATTTTTGCTAGTCTTAAATCCAGTAAGTCCTTGATTTTTGCCAGTCTTAAATCCAGTAAGTCCTTGATTTTTGCCAGTCTTAAATCCAGTAAGTCCTTGATTTTTGCTAGTCTTAAATCCAGTAAGTCCTTGATTTTTGCTAGTCTTAAATCCAGTAAGTCCTTGATTTTTGCCAGTCTTAAATCCAGTAAGTCCTTGATTTTTGCTAGTCTTAAATCCAGTAAGTCCTTGATTTTTGTTAGTCTTAAATCCAGTTAGTCCTTGATTTTTGCCAGTCTTAAATCCAGTAAGTCCTTGATTTTTGCTAGTCTTAAATCCAGTAAGTCCTTGATTTTTGCTAGTCTTAAATCCAGTAAGTCCTTGATTTTTGCTAGTCTTAAATCCAGTAAGTCCTTGATTTTTGCTAGTCTTAAATCCAGTAAATGAGTAAGTCCTTGATTTTTGCTAGTCTTAAATCCAGTAAGTCCTTGATTTTTGCTAGTCTTAAATCCAGTAAGTCCTTGATTTTTGCCAGTCTTAAATCCAGTAAGTCCTTGATTTTTGCCAGTCTTAAATCCAGTAAGTCCTTGATTTTTGCTAGTCTTAAATCCAGTAAGTCCTTGATTTTTGCTAGTCTTAAATCCAGTAAGTCCTTGATTTTTGCCAGTCTTAAATCCAGTAAGTCCTTGATTTTTGCTAGTCTTAAATCCAGTAAGTCCTTGATTTTTGTTAGTCTTAAATCCAGTTAGTCCTTGATTTTTGCCAGTCTTAAATCCAGTAAGTCCTTGATTTTTGCTAGTCTTAAATCCAGTAAGTCCTTGATTTTTGCTAGTCTTAAACCCAGTAAGTTGTTGCATATCTCTATGTGTTAGCAAAATGTTTGGTTGTGATTTCTCAAAGTTAAATGTCATCTTATAGTCTTCCTTTTCTAGCTTCATTATCTCATTTTATTTTGTCTGACTTGATGTCTTGTATAGTCTGTCTTGTTTTGTCAGATGTCTTGTTTTGTCAGATATCTGGTTTGGTCAGATGTCTTGTTTGGTCTATTCTGATGTTTGGTCTATCGTCTAACTTGGATGCCCCCCCCCCCCCCCTATCTGTACCAGAACAAAAGAATAACAGCAGCTGATGCCCTGACCCACCCGTACCTGGACGAAGGACGTCTGAGATTCCACTCGTGTATGTGTACGTGTTGTACACCAGGCACACAGGGACGTAACTTCTGTGGTGACCTGGAGCCTGAATGTCCTCATCCATTTGACTTCAACTTTGAGAAGTCTCTCACAACAGTCAACAGGGTCAAAGGTCAGAGAGTGCTTCCTTGTCAACTTGTATAGGAGCAGACTTTTTAGAGCATAGGAAATCATCAAATAAGTCAATTAGTTGACTAGGACAGTTTGTTGACAGTATCAAATCAAGATACATCATCTTAGCTCAGTAGGACAATTCTTTGACTGTTTCATTAGGAAAAAACCAGGACAAACATTTTTTTTGACTGCATCAAATCAAGAAAAGTGTTATTCAATTAACTAGGCCGATATTTTGACTGTATTAAACTAACATCTAAATGAATTAAAGCCCTAGTCAGATTCTAGGTGTAGTGTGAACATTTTTAAACCACTGAACTTTCAGAAAAATTATTCAAGTTCATCCAAGACCACCACCACCATCGCAGCACCAGCAAACTCCCGCTGTGTTTGAACCCCCACGCTGCAGCCCTCGCCAAAATTCAGAGGTAGGCCACTCCATCTGGGTACAGGGAGTTGTCCCCCATCATGGTAGGCCACTCCATCTGGGTACAGGGAGTTGTCCCCCATCATGGTAGGCCACTCCATGTGGGTACAGGGAGTTGTCCCCCATCATGTCTCTCCTATTTGTTTGTTTAAGATAAACTATCAGTATCAATCCAGATTTTTGTTGTTGTGTATTGGGCCTAGAATAAATATTTCAAGTAAATCTTGTTTTTGATAGGACTAGTAAATGACGTGAGAGGTGTAGAGGTTTAATGAAAGGAATTAATTCAACTATTTTAAAATCAAATTTTAAAACATGTCTGGTTGATGAATGTAAAAACTGGTGCATTGTTTTTATTTTGTTCTGATACCAACCTTGTCATCCTTCATTGCCCCTGCTCTCATCATTACCTCATTTTGTTTTCTATTTGAATGACCTCCCCTCTAAATAAGATGTGGACTTGAGAATGCAGATGCCATGCCTTTTGCCTCCCTTGAAGACCTCTTTACATCTTCCATTGTTAATTGGCCAGTTCCATTTCAATAAGAGAAAGTTTTTAATTTAAAAAGTACATTGTTTAAACTCAGATTTGAAACATTTATTTAAGAAAACAATTTGATAGAAAGAACACCAAAATGTAACTTAACAAAGATCATTTTCTAACCTCCCCTTGTGTGCCTGCTTTATTACTTCCCCTAACCAAATCTCTCCAACCATTCCTTTATTTGTTTTGATTTTTTTGTTTCATGAACATCTTCAAACCCTTCATGCTTTTGGTGTATTTTTTATCCCCTTGTTTTGAATGTGGGCCAAATCCTAATGTTGTTGTTGTGTTTGGCATGGCTGGTCCATACACCATTGCTGACCAACTGTGTTCATTTACAAATTGAAGTAGGAATGTGTTCACAACATTACAACCATTGATACTATTTTTAAAAAAGCAATCTGGCAAATTAAAACAATAAACAACTGAGTGTGGGGTACCTTCTATCCTGTCTGTATGTATTACAGTGTTGTCAAAGGAGGCAAATCTTGGCAGACGCATTCTCAACTCTCTACGGGGAATACTAGTCGCAGCCAGCGACCTACGTTACAACCTTACGCTGCTGTGTGATTGGTCAACTTCTCTCCATCTGTTGTAGTACTTAATACGTAGTACGTTGTGTAACTAGCCTAATACCACAGATATATGGAACTTTCTTCTACAACATTCACAAAATTTATTGGTCTTAAGTTAGTCCCATTATAAAGTTTAGGTCCTCCTTGTTATGTAAAAATGTGTCAAACAAGAAAGTTTTATAAATTTCAATTTTTCTTCTTAAAAAGTAAAATTTGGATCTTGTTTTTAAAACTAGAAATACTTTTGAGGTGTGGTCATACGTTCAGAGTTGCATCAAGTCACTTCTCACTTTGCTAGTCACTCTGTGCTTATGAAGCAAATATCTGAACAAGTTCACTCTGTGCTTATAGACTCAAACTATTGACAGTTGAAACAATTATCTGAACAAGTTCACTCTGTGCTTATAGACTCAAACTATTGACAGTTGAAACAATTATCTGAACAAGTTCACTCTGTGCTTATAGACTCAAACTATTGAGTTGAAACAATTATCTGAACAAGTTCACTCTGTGCTTATAGACTCAAACTATTGACAGTTGAAACAATTATCTGAACAAGTTCACTCTGTGCTTATAGACTCAAACTATTGAGTTGAAACAATTATCTGAACAAGTTCACTCTGTGCTTATAGACTCAAACTATTGACAGTTGAAACAAATATCTGAACAAGTTCACTCTGTTCTTATAGACTATTGACAGTTGAAGCAAATATCTGAACAAGTTCACTCTGTGCTTATAGACTCAAACTATTGACAGTTGAAACAATTATCTGAACAAGTTCACTCTGTGCTTATAGACTCAAACTATTGAGTTGAAACAATTATCTGAACAAGTTCACTCTGTGCTTATAGACTCAAACTATTGACAGTTGAAACAAATATCTGAACAAGTTCACTCTGTTCTTATAGACTATTGACAGTTGAAGCAAATATCTGAACAAGTTCACTCTGTGCTTATAGACTCAAACTATTGACAGTTGAAACAATTATCTGAACAAGTTCACTCTGTGCTTATAGACTCAAACTATTGACAGTTGAAACAATTATCTGAACAAGTTCACTCTGTGCTTATAGACTCAAACTATTGACAGTTGAAACAAATATCTGAACAAGTTCACTCTGTTCTTATAGACTATTGACAGTTGAAGCAAATATCTGAACAAGTTCACTCTGTGCTTATAGACTCAAACTATTGACAGTTGAAACAATTATCTGAACAAGTTCACTCTGTGCTTATAGACTCAAACTATTGACAGTTGAAACAAATATCTGAACAAGTTCACTCTGTGCTTATAGACTCAAACTATTGACAGTTGAAACAAATATCTGAACAAGTTCACTCTGTTCTTATAGACTATTGACAGTTGAAGCAAATATCTGAACAAGTTCACTCTGTGCTTATAGACTCAAACTATTGACAGTTGAAACAAATATCTGAACAAGTTCACTCTGTTCTTATAGACTATTGACAGTTGAAGCAAATATCTGAACAAGTTCACTCTGTGCTTATAGACTCAAACTATTGACAGTTGAAGCAAATATCTGAACAAGTTCACTCTGTGCTTATAGACTCAAACTATTGACAGTTGAAACAATTATCTGAACAACTTCACTCTGTGCTTATAGACTCAAACTATTGACAGTTGAAACAAATATCTGAACAAGCCTCTCTTGCCCGTTCTCACAGGTTCTGGTTGTAGTTTGGTACATGTACGTGGGTGAGTACTTGCTAGTCAGGCCAGTTCTTGTTTCCAGGGCCAGCAAGTGTAAGCCCATGGTTGACATAGCAGGTTTAGAACACCCCTACAACAACTTGTGGCTAGATCTAATTAGTCTAACCTTGATAGAGATCTAATTAGTCTTACCTTGATAGAGATCTAATTAGTCTTACCTTGATAGAGATCTAATGAGTCTAACCTTGATAGAGATCTAATTAGTCTAACCTTGATAGAGATCTAATTAGTCTAACCTTGATAGAGATCTAATTAGTCTAACCTTGATAGAGATCTAATTAGTCTAACCTTGATAGAGATCTAATTAGTCTAACCTTGATAGAGATCTAATGAGTCTAATCTTGATAGAGATCTAATGAGTCTAACCTTGATAGAGATCTAATTAGTCTAACCTTGATAGAGATCTAATTAGTCTAACCTTGATAGAGATCTAATTAGTCTAACCTTGATAGAGATCTAATTAGTCTAACCTTGATAGAGATCTAATTAGTCTAACCTTGATAGAGATCTAATTAGTCTAACCTTGATAGAGATCTAATTAGTCTAACCTTGATAGAGATCTAATTAGTCTAACCTTGATAGAGATCTAATTAGTCTAACCTTGATAGAGATCTAATGAGTCTAACCTTGATAGAGATCTAATTAGTCTTAACTTGATGGAGATCTAATTAGTCTAATCTTGATGGAGATCTAATTAGTCTGACCTTGATAGAGATCTAATGAGTCTTACCTTGATAGAGATCTAATGAGTCTAACTTTGATAGAGATCTAATTAGTCTTAACTTGATGGAGATCTAATTAGTCTAATCTTGATGGAGATCTAATTAGTCTGATCTTGATAGAGATCTAATGAGTCTAAAAACTTACTCTCCCAATCAGTTTAACCTTGACGTTCCCCATCATGTTGAAGAAAGTTCCATACATTTGTTTTAGATAAAGTTCTAATCTAAGTTTACCTAAATAGTTGTTGACCTGTGAATATTGACCTGACTGCCCATGGTTGAAGCAATGTTTTAATTTGGCAATCTTTTTTCTCCCACAGTGCTAGGGTCGCCTCTGGTGCTGAACTCCCCCCCTCTCCTCACCAGTGGACGTAACCATGGTGACTCGAGTGTCTGAACGCAGCTAACCTCGTGGAAGTGATGGCGTTGGTCTGGCTGAGCTCTGAGACTTGCTAGCTCCAGTCTGATGCAGCTCACATGATTAGACTTGTGGACGCTGTGTGCTAGCAATGCTAGGTTCACCTGGCTGCTCTATCTACATTAGAATCACATTTTTAGATGGCCCACATTTCTTTTAAAACTTGTCTGTGGGTTCTAATCTAACTTAATATTTTAAAACTTGAGACATTTTCTGGAGAGCACATCGACTGCAGCTAGCAAAAAGGGAGATCATCAACTGCAGCTAGCAAAGGGAGATCATCAACTGGAGCTAGCAAAAAGGGAGATCATCAACTGGAGCTAGCAAAAAGGGAGATCATCAACTGCAGCTAGCAAAGGGAGATCATCAACTGCAGCTAGCAAAGGGAGATCATCAACTGGAGCTAGCAAGAAGGGATATCATCAACTGCAGCTAGCAAAGGGAGATCATTAACTGCAGCTAGCAAAGGGAGATCATTAACTGCAGCTTCCCAGGCAAGATGAGAGCACCTGAGCCAGCAGAAGAAGAAAGATAGTGTAGATAAAAAGATGGTGGCACTCGAGGCTCCCCATGTACCAAAGGCAGCCAGCACACCTAGGACCAGATTCAACTTTTTACTATTCATGCCATCATCTATTTATTTTTTAACATAAAGATGAATTATTTTTAACTTTTTACAACCATTGCCAGCTACACATTCTTCCAAACTGGCAAGTGAAATAAATCCATCTTGTGTCAACCAAGTAGTCAGGGACCTTTTTCAAATTTTGTTCACTCATAGAGCAAATGGTGATGGATATGTGGGAGACTGGCTCGCACATGTTTTATTAATGGCTGGCCACATAGGGTGAATGGCCTCATGGGGTGAATGGCCTCATGGGGTGAATGGCCTCATGGGGTGAATGGCCTCATGGGGTGAATGGCCTCATGGGGTGAATGGCCTCATATGGTGAATGGCCTCATGGGGTGAATGGCCTCATGGGGTGAATGGCCTCATGGGGTGAATGGCCTCATGGGGTGAATGGCCTCATGGGGTGAATGGCCTCATGGGGTGATCACACACACAATAACATCAAGAGTGGATGGCCAAGTTTTGAGTGAAAATCTTGGCACCATGGCACCAAAGACCATGTGTCCAGCCTGGTCAAGTCTGTTGTCCAACTTTCTGTAGATATGTCTGTAGCAAAGTTGGGTGTGTGGAATGTTTGATTGAACCCAAGCAGATTTTTAAAACTAGTTTTAGCCATTGTAAACAAATTGTACCATGTGTATGAACTGTCTGAACACTTTTAACATATGCATTTTTTCTGTACATATTTCAAGACAGGCTATGGCTTGTCCAAAGGGTTAACAATTTGAAATGTAACAAAGTTTATTTACATGTGTGTGTTTTTATGGACCTGGCCTTGACCTAAAGATGAGGTCACAACCCTGGCAGACTTTTACCATTGCCTTGGGCTGTGGTGTCATCTGTAGCTGGCGTCAGGTGGAGATGTCTTTATGTACACAAGTTTGCAGGTTTCAAAACATTGTCAATGGTTTTTGTGTGCTACAACTTCTATATATACTCTGTGTGCGTGCAAGATCTCTGTTTGAACATTTTTTTTAATTAAGTACTCATAGTCATATTTCACCATATTTAAAGACATTGAACAAGGGGAGGTAATTTGTAAAGAAGTGGGATATGAATACTTAGGCTAATTTGATTATACATTACTAATTAGCATCTATAATTTAGTTTGTGTAGATTGTTCAGTTGGGTGAGATTTTTGTGGTGTTATCACATTTCCACAATTAGTTAATTTAACAATTAATTTATTGACCTCAGCAACCTCATCTATCATATATTTAATTACAATCTTATGGTCACACCTAACGATTAATTACAATCTTATGGTTAGACCTAAAGATAAATTACAATCTTATGGTTTCACTTAAAGATTAATTACAATCTCATGGTTAGACCTAAAGATAAAAAATAAAAAGCTTTGGTGAAATGAGTTCTAAATGAGATTTCTCAAAGCTGAAGGGGACACAACCCCTCCTTTTACTCAGCTATTTATTCCATTTGATGGTGACAGCATCAAATAATCCCTCCATTATGTTGTGTACTGAGTAGATCTATCTATCTGAGAGTCTCTGGTCAAACCTCTGTTGTTTTCACACTTATACTTTTTCCATTCATTTCTAACATAAGTTACCTTAGTTGATTCTTTTGTTGAATTTGTTTTTAAGTCAAGTTTTCAATTGTGAAGTTTTAGGAGGACTCAGTTAAATAATTCCATGAGTGTTTGCTAATAGAGTTGTCTCACCTAGGTAGGTGACACAGGAACATTTGGTCCTCTACAGTTTTAAGTGGGTTCTTGAAATGTGAAATACTTGAGTCAAATCTTGACCAAATGTTTGATCAATGTTGGTGTGACATTATACAGCACCCCACGAGCTGGTGTCTAAACACATTTCAAAAGTTACCTGAGGTTTATCTGGGCTAGTGTGTGTGAGTGTGCTTGTTTCAAAATGGTGCTCTAATGTTTGAACTCACTGTTCTAAGTATTCATCATGTACTTGTGTTTTTTTGATGTGTGCATCTTGCACTTTTTTAAACTGTGTGTAAACTGAATGTTAGGATCAGTCAAGAAGTATAAGAATCCTTTGACTGGTCATCCCCCCCCCCCCCCCTCAGAATGGCTGGCTGAGACCTTAACCAATCAGCATTTGATGTTGGTAGAAATCAAAAATTTTAGAATCTCATTTTTTTTCTTGGCTCCCAGTGTAAACTTGCCATTCTGAGCAAGGTCAAAGTTAAAGAAATGTAACGCACTTTGGCACAAGTTGACCTTGGTTTTAACACCAGAGTTTGACCTTTGGTTTAACACTAGAGACCTTTGAGGTCTTACAGTACTGAGACATACTGTATTTAAAGAAAAGTAAGCAATGAAAATAATGATTTTGTTTTTTTAAATGTAAGCATTGATTGCCCTCCTAAGACATAGGTTGTGAGAGCCTTCCATATTTGTATTGATGTAAATAAAGCAGATGATGCCAGCTGAATAATTCACTGAGTGATAGACCAGACACAAACAACCTAAAGCCAAGTATTAACTGACCATTGAATACAAATCCATTTGCCGATTCCATATGATTGTTTAATATGTTGTATACAAGTTTACTAGGGTCAAATTCTTTCTGACCATGACATGCAGAAAACATCTTCACCTTCTGTGAATATCACATCAATATTCATTCACTGAATGCATGCTGAAATTGGTGGCCGCAATGAATTTATAAAATCTGAGCAAGAAAGATTTTGTCTGTAAGGATAATAGTTTTTTTTTTCCTCACTGTAGTCAGTTTTATTGTACTACATTTTGTACTCCTATGTAATATAATGTAAATAATTGGATCTCTGAGCACCGCAGTGGTCTGACATGATGAAAAATACCTCTCTTTATCATGACTCATCTCTGTTCTACCATGAAAAAAAGGCTTTAAGACTTGCTGAGTCTGCATGAACATGACTAGTCAAACTACTTGTAAACCCTTGTTTACTCTTTCATTTTGCCACTTTCACCCCTTAAGGGTTATAGGGAAGAGAATAGAAATTGGGTATTCCCTATACAAATTGGATATTCCCATTAAAAATTGGATATTCCCAATCATTCTCCATGAAGTCTGTATGTACCCAGGTTTGTGGGTGTTTGATGCAGGGGAATGAAAAATAAATTATCTGTAACTATTTAGGTTGGGGTAGAAAAAATGTTTGTGTTAACTCAAAAATTTTTGCAGGGGAATGAAAAATAAATTATCTGTAACTATTTAGGTTGGGTTAGAAAAAATGTTTGTGTTAACTAAAAATTTTTTAACACTGCCAGTATCAAGAGTTGTGTAAATTATGCAATGTTTAATGCCATGCCAAAATGTAGGATGTTGTAGTCAACTGAACTGTGTAGCACTCCAGTAGGGGACTCCTCTCTGTAGCCCCCCTCCCCCACCTCATTCCGCACCAGATGATAAACATTGAATAGTGAAAGAAGAGGGGTAGATGCAGCAAATTTGTTGTTGAAACATTGTACAAAATTATTTAGCTCATTGGTATACTGAGTGTCTTTGTAGTCATACTGTAACATATTTAGTATCCACCTATTGTATATGTTATGTGGACCATGTTATGTGAAGCTGTGTGACATACAGGTTTGCCTGCTGTGTGTTATGTCTAGATGTGTAATATACAAGTGCCCTACAAGACCTCCCACTAGTGGTCACAACTTTAACGGTCATCTGTTGTTTTTTTTTGTTAGCTGAGAAAATTGTCACTGTTGGAATAGAACACAACCCCCAACCTTTTTTAATTAGCTGAGAAAAGTTTTAAACTTATTGGAACAAAATGGTATATATAAAAGTGTACAGTTATTTCTTTTGTGAAACCATAACTGGGCCTAAATAATTGACAAATTAGAAAATGAAATAATTAACGAATTAGAAAATGAATATTGTAAATTAGTTTAAAAGGTAAATTTTGTTGCATCTTTCAGTGTCTTAATTTTTGGTGATTGTTTCTGCTTTAGTATATGGTTATATATGTCCCCAACACAATCTTCACCTGTATGTGAACTATGATTCTAACAAAAAAAAAATCAAGAAAAAAATCTTGTTTCTTTCTTAATCAGATTTTATTTCATATTTAGAAAGTAAATTTTTATTTTGTGCTATTTATAATTCACTGATAACCAGACTATGTCCCAGGAAAATAAGGCTAGAAAAATAGTTCAAATACAGACCCTCCATGATTTTTGTCTGGTTACCTATCAGCAGGTTCCTACCCTGCAGGTTCCCTATCAGCAGGTTCCTACCCTGCAGGTTCTCTATCAGCAGGTTCCTACACTGCAGGTTCCCCATCAGCAGGTTCCTACCCTGCAGGTTCCCTATCAGCAGGTTCCTACCCTGCAGCAGGTGACCATGTCAAGATAACCTCATCTATTTTTAGACTAGATATTACCTAACCTAAACTTGTACATTTGTAAAATAAAAATGTTTTTATGATGTATACAACTTGTGGTCGCTGTTGTCAATAACGTACAAGAATGCTTGTTCTTATTTTGTTTGCATTAGATTCAGCCGTATGTATACTGACTGCCCTTTGCATGTAGATTTGAGCTTTCTTACTCACTCATAGATCTTATTTCCTCTGGCCAGTGCTCATTTATGTGGGCCAGTCATACTGGCACTCAACTTTGAGAAATTGCTAGATATTATGAAAACATGACTTTTAAGATCAGCTGATTGCTTTTGTCTCTCAACTTTTGGAAACTGCTAGATAAATAAATGAAAACATGACTTTAAGATGAGCTGATAGCTTTTTAAAGATGGCTTTATTTTTTATAATCTGCTTTATTAAGAAAAACTCTAGATAATCTGCAGGATAAGCCAACTATAAATAAATTTATCTATGGATGTCTTCGATGTTTAATTGGCTTGCTACATTTTGGTAGTTAACACAAGCGAACAAGTATCTTGGGTCACCAGTGTGACCTGAGTACCACAGGTCACCTGAGTGGCACAGGTCACTTGAGTGGCACACATCACCTGTCTGACCTGAGTGCCACAGGTCACACCTGAGTGCCACATGTCACACCTGAGTGCCACATGTCACCTGTCTGACTTGTTGGATAGACCTGTGACTTGACTTAGCTGCCACCTTTGTTTGGCTAATGTTGTCGTTGAGTTTGTGTTGCTATTTTTGTTCACCTTTAATGTTGGTGTTACTGTTACAATTTGTAAATTTATCTTTTCTCTTGGAAAAATTATTTTAAACTTTTTTTTATAGTCAACCAACAGCTAATTTTTATCATTGATTTCTTTTAATAATTTTAAAATAACCAAATAAATATGCTATTTTTAAAGATTATTTTTCAAAGAACTTAGGTTAATAAACTGCTCAATATTTATTACAATAACTGTCTTTTCTTATTGTTATTAATAAATATCAAAAGTGAAAATATTCAAGTACAATATGAGAAATCCTTCCAACATTTTTTATAAGGCCAGTCATTGATTAGTTATGTTAAGTGTGAGTGGGATTTAGAATATGTTAAAGAATTGTTTGGTCTTTTAATCTTGATAGGATTATAAGAAATATTTTTTTTTAAAGAAAAATTTCTGAAACAGAAACAATAGAGTATTTAATACTCGCGGAGAGAACGCTAACAAATGGTATCAACCAAAAAAGGTTACTGCAGTAATCCAGCTTGTTAACCAAACTAGCAGTAAGAGTTAGGGTTACTGCAGTAACCCAGATTTTTCATTGCTTGCCCTCCCATCAACAATGTATTATGTTTTTTTGACTCAGGAACTGGTATAAATTTTGGTTATGTATCAATATGTTAACTGTATGTTTCACTCATATGTCCCCACATATTTATTAGTGCATGCCTAATTATGCAATGCAAAAGCATTTTTGTTCATGTACTAGTTTTCTATCTTTTGCCAGTATGTTTTTTTCATAATGTGGGATCTAGTGAATTGTTTTCCCTGTCCACTCGCCACACAGTCATTCTCTTGACTTAAGTCACACAGTCATTCTCTTGACTGACATTCACAATTTTGCTCTACTCTTTGACAGAACTACCTTAGTTAGACAGACATGCTACTTTTTTAATAAGATTACTTCAAATTATTTTCTCTTCAATTTTAGTTTTGTCACTAATTTTTTGTATTAATACCAATACTACAGAGTACAATATGAAAGATAAAATTTCAACAGGGGTATAATTAAGTTAACGAATCTTCATCAAGAGTTGTATCATTAAGAAAGTTTCCACTACCATAAGGATAAGCCTTAATATTCCTGTCAGCGGATCAGTGGCACAACTTCTGTTTATCTGACCAAATAGAAATCTTGTTTTTCTCTAGAGGATCTTTTGGTTTGATTGTCACCACTTCCTTCACTGTCCGTGGCATTTCATTTGCATAAATGTCATTCAAATGTCATACACAATTGTCCTCATCATGCTTCTCGTCATCAACATAGCTGACATTGTTTGATATGAAGCTTCTCTTGCATCCTGATGTAATAAAACAAAAATAAAAATACTGTACAAATTATTTGAGTTGTTTGCTTTTTATGTGGTGTTTTGGGGGGATCAGAAACAAGTGGTGATAGATTGAACACTGGAATGAAACAAGGCTTGCACTCAAGTCTAGGTGATTGGGAAAAAAAGTCTTTAGTTCAGGGGAGATACGTTTATAAAAATGTAGTAGGGCGTGGTCGTATCCTGGTTGCTAAGAAAGTTTCGAGTTCGAACCCTCGGGCAGATAAGGAGAGACAACTCCAAAATAAATTTTTTTAAAAAACCCAGCTGGCTTTTATTTTGTTCTTGGTTTGGACAAAAAAAAAATGCAAGATTTAAGTTAAAACAAAAATTAAGATAGTTTTAAGCTCATGGCCACTTTTGCACACGCGTGAACGGTACAATATCCACTACCGTGTAACCTAGATAATCCTCACACGCCGCCGTCACAACGTTTCGGTCATCGCGACCTTAGATTCTCTTCTATGTCTACCTGAACATGCGTGAGCTCGCAGCATGGTATAGTGCTGGATCTAGATCTATAACTATTAACACAAATTGCTCAATGCTAACAATAACGTCACCTACAATCTCACATGCGCTATGGATCAAATATCAATCGGCTGTATCAGATGGGAGAGGCTTTAGACGGAACTTTTTGATATCATTCGCGGTGTGACTGTCTAGCTATTGATGACGATGTGGGTTGGGATTAAAACTCGTTTTATTTACGTGACGTCATCAATGGACTACCGCTAAGCTGTGCAATAAAATAACTATAACATTAGTAGCATCGCCGATTTTTTTTTTTTTTGTATTGCAAAAAAAAGCACTTTCATTCATTTGAAGAATTATCTATGTATGAATAGAACTGTGTTGTTTATACTCAACTTTACGGTGACCAGAAAGATGCGCAATGGAAAAAAAGCGCAACTGAATAAGCGCAAACAGAAAAAAGTGCATCAAGATCCGTCTGGTCAACTAAACTTGAGGTACCGATCTCCAATTTTGAAAAGTAAGCAAGTTATTAGGCTACGATCAGCCGTCGCCTTTAAGGCAATGTCTTTAAAGCAACCAGGCCTCTCGAATTCCTAGGTAAACAAACTCCACTTTTCCATGGTGAAAAGCATCAAGATCCGTCTGGTCAACTAAACTTGAGGTACCAATCTCCAATTTTGAAAAGTAAGCTATTTAGTAGGATACGATCAGCCGTCGCTTTTAAGACAATGTCTTTAAAGCAACCAGGCCTCTCGAATTCCTAGAAAAACAAACTCCACTTTTCCATGGAGAAAAAAGGAAGATAGATATGATCGAGGAATATTGAAATAGCATCTCGACGGACGCCTGAGGAAGCATTACATTATTTTTACAAGCTTTTATTTAACTTGCTTCCTTTGTCTGTCTGTCTGTGACCTGTCTGTCGACAGTCTGTCTATCTGTCTATTATAGAAACGCTCGTGCGAAATTTCGGTGATGTAACTGACAGATTCAGTTCAAAGTTAGCCCGTAGGTCAAGACATGAAAACATTAAATGTGACTTAATTGGATGTCTAGTTAATTTTTTATTAATTAATTAATATTTTTCCAAATTAGTCGACTGTTTTATCTAACTATTCCACACTAGACAGACAGACAGACAGACTGACTGACGATCGACTGATGACAAACAGACAGGGGAAGCAAGTTAAATAAAAGCTTGTAATAAAATTGATCTACATTCATACACCACAATAGTTGAACAATCAACATATTTGTGAAAATCAGATTTGTACTTGATTACAACCAAAGTTTAGAATTCATCAGACAGTTTCTTGCAGTACTTGAAACAAATTTGTATAACATTTTACTTTCCATGAATGCAACTAAACATTGACCTTTAAATGTTGTCAAGTCAAGAAGCTATTTGTTACCAAGACAACATCTGAAAGCATCAGAGCTAAGATATTTGCTGCTAAAAAAAATTAAATGTCATTTTCAATATTTATTTCTGTAAAACACAGCATGTTACATCAGGGATTAGCAGACATTACATTTAACCTTAGTTTTTTTTGGACACTTACATTTAAAAAAAAAAAATTCTGTTCAACGAAAAAAAAGAAACAACTTCTTCTCAAAACTCCAATGGTTGTGCCTTAATAATTATAACATTATAACGACTAAATTGTTGCAATCCTTTTAATCATGTATGGCTAGAATTTTTGTTGGGAAAGTTTATCCAAGGGACATAATCCAAATAAATTTATCACGGCTTTTCTTAAAACTTCCTACTTCCCTTGGTTAGATCCAATAACATTCTGCAGATATTTTCTAGAATATAGATTATAGATGTAATTAAACCTTGTTATCCCTCTAACGTTATTTGGAAGTCTGTGTCAACAACAACAACAACAAAACCCAAAATTAAAAGTAGGCTATGAATTAGAATACATTTATTTTGTAATCATTAAAAAAAGGCAACTGTCAAACAGTTTTTAAAGATTTCATGCAGTTAAAAATAAAGGTATGTGATACCGATTTCTCACTTGTTTCTAGATCTAGAAGGACGAATAGGCCAAGACCCTACGCAAAAAAAAAAAAAAAAAAAAAAAAAAGATCTATAGCCTAATGGATGTCAGTTAAGCCTAAGATATATTAACAGGCCTATATCAGTGGCGTGGCGAGGTCGGGTGTCAACCGGTGCGGCACTTATTGGTGTCAATCCCAGAGGCGTAGTGACCCTTCCTGGGAACGAACTTTCAATTTGCACCCCCCCCCCCCTCAAACTCGATTTGCACCCCCCCCCCCTCAAGTTTTTCTCTATATATTTTGCTATTTTTTTGTGCCTTGGTTTCACCCCCTAAATGGTGTCACCCGGTGCAAACCGCACCCCCCCCCCCCTCGCTACGCCTCTGGCCTATATATAATATTGATGATTTTTAAAAATCTTGATTTGATTTCCATAGTTTTCAATTTGTTTTAAGGGTATTGTTTAAGTGAATTGTTCTTTACCGGTATTGAGGTACGGGACGCGTTTCATATGCGAATGGTTCTATCGTTGGAACTTACAAAATCCTATTTGTGAAGTTTGTTATAAAGTAAGTTTACGGAACGAGTAAAAAAGAATGGCAGTCTACCACGTGTAGTGCCAATCACGGAGCGACATAAATGAAAGTGGTTTCTGAGTACGAACTTCCCGTTACGCGAAATTAAAGAGAAGCCCTAACAGAAATAACCCCAGTGGCTGCCGTGCCATGAAACACTACAACCTGAATTTTGAATGGAGCTCGACCGTGCGTTCCGGGATCGGAGCAGCGGGAGTTCCTACTATAAATTTAGTGTAGTGGAAACAACCAATCTAGACAGATCAAGCCGTATAAGATCATAGCGATCAATGTCAGACGTGTCTCCTGACACACGCTCCAAGATGTTCTCGGAGTTGGCTTTATATATACCAACAACTTTCAACTGTGCATACTTTAAGGTTTCTGGAATTATAATATTCTCTTTATTAAATAACAAATATTATTATTTATTCGATTTTGGTATTTAAAAATTCTACCACATAGTTTTTATACATTATACAAAATTTATTTATTCAAATAATTAAATAATATATTTGTATTTATTGCTTTTGTTTGCTTTTAGATATAACACGATTTTATATGTTAAATTATTTCCCTTTAATACTTTAAACGGTAACACAATTTAAGTAATTTATTACTTAAATGCTTAAACAAATAGTGTTACATTTTTACATTTTAGAGCCGTCTATTTTTTTCTTTATGTTTCTAAACGCTGTCCTTTTTGTGCGTCTTAAGGCTGTTTAGGTATTAACTAAGAAATATTCTTTGAAACTAATAACATTATTGGCCTTGACCTCGCTGACATCTATGACGTCACTGATGTTGACTGCCGCCATTTTGGAAGTAACCGGAAAGAAAACAAAAGACTTGATTATTAGTAGAGAAACACTTCCAGTTTTTAAGGACTTTAAGTCCCTTTTTGGGGGATTTAGAATATAGCTTTCATCTTTTTGAATTGCTGATTGTTGAGGGTAATTACATATTTCTATTTGATAATTCTATTTTCCTATGTTTATTCATTTTTAATCAAATTATGTTGCACCCATTTCAGTGATTGTCTGACTTTCCTCTTGCTTGCTTGAGTCTCGATTTTGTCATTATGTCGATTATGGTTACTAGACTAGATCTAGATCTAGATTCTAGATCAAGATTCTAGATCTAGTCTATACATTATTTAGGCCTATAGATAGGCTATTTAATAAATTTATTATTTAATCTTTATTAGACCTACATTTCAATTCTAGATCTACGAAGCTTGGAGTTTGAATCTAGATCTAGATCTAGTCAAGTCAGACTAGGTCAACTAGTCTAGAATGTAGATCTAGATTTAAATCTAGATGAGATCTGATCTAGAATCTAGAAATAATCTAGATCTAGTAATAATCTAGTTCAACACCATACATTCCAACTAGACTTGTTGGAACGTTTGGTGTAAAACAGATATCTTTCCTAAATCTTGAAAAACATAATAATCATATTAGTTGGCCTAGGTCTAAGTTTAACTCAGACAAGAATGATAGACCATTAGCCTAGGCCTACATATTATAATGGTAAAAGTAGATTGAAAGCACCCCTCATCTATCTATTCTATACAATCACCATGACTGTTTGTTGACACCATCACTGCTGATACACTATTAAGTATTATTATTGCCATCATTATTACTATTTTCCTTTACCTCATCATACTCTTACTGATAACTTACATTAGAATTCATTAGATTTTATGGTTGAAGAGTGTAGGCTTATATGTAAAGTGTATAATGATATGATGCATATTTGTTTAAAAAACAATAAGTCTGGTGTTGCTGGATGCAGACTGTAGTTTGCTGACATGTATGTCATACTCAGGGCTCTTTAGGATAGTTCCACTTTTTAATCAGTATGACGCTATGCTACTAAATTAGTCAAGTATTTTTAGAAAATATTTAATTAATATTGCATGAAATATAAACAGACCCTGTTGTACT